TATAATTAAATCTGTCTGTTGAAATGGGCAATCATTTTCAAATAGCTCCATTTATATGCGCTTGTTAAAGTTACCCCGTACGTTCTCTTTTCATTGACATTGCAACTAAAAATGATAAAAAAGAATTGTTATTTTTTTTTATAAAAGTAATGATTAGAGATTAATAAGATTAGAATTGTTAATGAGAAGTATTGAACCTGAACAAGAATGCAATTCATCGACTGTTCTTTTGGATAATAGCGATCACAGCCGCAGCGAGAGAATGTAGAAAGGGATAGAGATTAAACTTCACACCTAAAATAAGATACCTTTTAATTAATGATTAAGTGATCATTTAGATAACACGGGCTTCTTAAAAGAGTTGTTATTCGTTTTATTGACAATTGTTATTCTTTGTCTCTGTTAAATTTATATTCCTGGTGTCATAGAGTTGTTGTAATTAGCAAAGGAGTCAATCCCGTACCGTACCGGCCATACCCAGTTTTGACATTTGACCGAAACGGTATAATGTTAAATTTCGTTTCGGTAAAAATTCGACCGTTCTAGTCAAAATCTGGTGTACCGGCCGAAATTTTGTGTACCGGCCGGTACATCCGAATTTGATCGGTACATTATGCAAGAAGGAAAAAAAAAAAAAAAAAGAATCCCCAGCCAAAACAACGTCGTTTTGGCTGGGGGTGGCGGCAGGATACTCAGGCGGTATCCCGATCAAGCCTGTTGTCGCCTCGAACCAACAGGGGAGCCGCGGTGGGCGTCAGATCTGGCAGCCTTTGCGCGCGCCGCCACAGATCCGCCGGAGGAGAAAGAAGGCCGCCGGATTTACACCGAACAGAGCAAAAAACAGCAAACAAACAAAGCAAACCAACATATAAACAAACAAACCAAAAAAACCCACACAAAACAAAAAACAAAAAACAAAGCCAGATCTGCAAGGGGATGGTGAAGATCCGAGGTGAAAGAACGGAGGTGATGGTGGCGATGGTGGATCTGCAGAAGGTAGAAAAATCAAGGTTTTTTTTTCTGTTTTCTCCTCTTTTTTTTTCTTTTTTTTTTTTGGGTTTGGCTGCTTTGGCAGCCGCACCGCACCTCCTCCTTTTCCCCTTAAAAGAGAAAAAGAGAGGAAACTAAGTTTTGTTAAATTTGGGTTTGATGAGCTGTTCAATATTGGGCTGGGTTTATGAGTTTGTTTTAGTAAATTTTATCCTCAACTTTTTAATTTTTTCAATTGAGTCCCTTTCTTGTTTTTTTTCTTTAACTTCTCCCCCAAATTTTTCATAAAATTTTTTATAACGATAAATCCGAAACGGTATGCGAAAAATTCTGATATCCGGTACGTACCGTTCCAGTAACAAAACCGGTACGCATGCCGGTACGATATTGACTACTTTGGTAATTAGTAACATTAAATGCTAAAGAATTTTAGAATTTAGTGTGTAGCTCGTGTAGCTAT